AAAGTCCCATTCATCCGAGGTAAAATTTCAAAAGCTGTTCACTGACACTTTGTACTTAACTAAATACAGTATCAATGTGACTTACAAAATTTTTCTAGCCTCTCTATTTGGGAATTTTTCTTTCTCTGTTTTCTCCAATCCCAAGCAAAATCATAAGATGGCGATGGCGATTTACAGCGAAAACAGACAGTGAAAATTGAACGAGACACAATTCCCAGATTCACTTCACGAACCTATCAAAAGTGATGGCTAATCTGATCGCTTGGCCCGCCAATTATCTTCCCAAAGACCCTCTCAACCGAAGGCCCCATCTCTTGAACCAACCTAACAGATTCCGAGAGCCGATTGAGCAGATTTATCAATGCAATCACTTCATTCCTTTGCAGTTGCAGCTGAGAACACACTATTAATTCAACTCGAGTCGTGAAGAACATAGATAAGAGTAATATTTACCAACAATAGGGATGAATGAAACTCTGTAAGTTGCTTTTGTTGGAATGAAATTTGTTTGATCNAATTTATTGCATAGAATTTGTATTTGGAATAATTCTTCAAACTCAAAAATTTGGCAGTGGGGAACAAGAGAAAAAAAAAAAAGAAAAAAAAAAAGAATAGAAATTAAGGATGCACTGAGAGAAAAAATTAATAAAAAAGAGAACCTTATATTTCTAAACTGATTTTGTATCTGTTTTATAAGTTCCGGTCCATTCTGGCCTTTCCACAATTTAGCTTCATCAAAGGGTTTGGGGCAAGCAGCTTGTAGTTTGTGATCGAAAAGCAGCTTCTTCATCAAAAGCTCCGTATTTAGGTCCTCCAAATCATGACCCGTGTCATAGTCAGCCTGCTCCAAGTAATCTGCTGCCTAGCATTTGCCCAACCAAGGCTTAACATTAAATTAAGATAAAATTAAAATAACCAAAAAAAGATAAGACTCCAAAGATAAAAAAAAAAAAACCCACTCACTTTTGTCACAGATCGAAGGACGAAAAGAAAGGTGAAGTATAAGTTCCTAACACGATCCGGGTACTTCAAGACACGATCATACATTAATGATAGGTTTTGGCCCCACTGCATCACGAACAAATACGGTTTGGCAAATCGCGATCTATACAAATTGAGGCTAGAGTACAAGTGTACACTACAAGCCACCAAGCAAGAAGGATGTAAGAAATCGAGACTGTACCATGTTCGTTTTCTCGTCAAGCAAGTAATCAGCAGCAATGTGAATTGAGATGGATGAGTGAAGGCCAGATATCAACTTGTAAAGTATTCTTTTCTCTTGGCACTCTCCTGATGGATCTACAGGAGCAATTCAATTATCTATGTCAATGATCAGATAATTCCACCCAATATTAAAAATAAGACGAGAGAAAAAAAGACCAGACATAGATAAACCATTCGACTACAAGAAATACTTCCTAATATCACCTCTTAAAAACCAACCTAATGTCCAATAGTTTTAGAGCTGAAAATGTATTGACTTACATTTGAGGCAGTTCTCAAGATAAACAGCATCCCATATTCTTCTTGCAGATGGGCCCGTGTAGCCAGTGTAGCGTTCAGGGTTCAATTGTAGATTAACATACGTCATTTCAGCTGCACAAAAATTGCATTTGGTCAAACAAACGGCATTTAGGAGAAAATGAGATTTAAAATCTATCAGAGACAGGAAATATACGTGGTACATGCTATAAGAGAGAGGTTCCGTAAAATTTGTTTATTTCAGTTTTTTTTTTATTAAAAAAAATGAATATAGGCAGGAATTAATGGGCACCATTATCCGTCTCGTCATCGTTTGTCCACGGATTATCTACTTCCATCCAGCCTTTGAAAGCTTTATCATCTATAGTACGATCAACAGCAGCCTCCGGCTTTCCCTCTTGACAGATTAGATTATCCGATGAAAGGCCATTTCCAGAAGGCTTCCGGAATGTTTCTGGAAACTCATGCTCGGGGCACTCGCAAACACTGCAGTCCCTCAAACGGCACATACCATCATCAGGCCAGAAAGGGCAATCACACCACAACTTGACCTATTGCAATGCATACTTATCAGGAACAAGCAAACCCATTAAGGCTTTAACATACTGTGACAGAACGGCAAAAATGGGACTCAGGAAACTTCACATTTATTTCCAGAAGCTCCAGAAAGAAAGATTACTCCGAGTCCCAGATTTTAACTTGCTAGCTCTATCAGAAGATAATAAAATAACGGGAAATACGCAAAAGTGCCACATTTTCTTTGTGTTCACAAAAATGATATCCTTGTCTTTCAAACCAAAACGACTGTCAATAACTGACATTACGATAAAAGGAGGTAGGTATTTTTGCAAAAAATGAAGTGAAAATATGACATTTTTGCAAATTTACCATACTAAATAAATAAGGGCAATGTCGTAGAGGTAGCTAAAAAAAAATGAATGCTAATCAAGAGAACTTATTTCCAAAGCCGAAAACTGTTTAAAATGACAGAAATACAGCAGTACAAGGTAAATAAAGCATTAGCTGAAACTATAAACAGAAGATGCAAAAGAATATAAAAAGAATCTAACTATTCAAATGAAAAGAATCAATCACTTCCATTTTCAACATATATGTAACAAAAGATATTCTATGATTCAGCTGCATAACTATATGCCTAAGTAATTTTTTTTTAAAGAAAAACAGGGCTGTAACGAAATTTCCACACCTTAAAGTACCGGAAGAACGGATATTTCACAATTTGTTGAAGCAATGGATGCAAAACCTGACCATTGATGCGATCCACAGTCTCATAATCACAACAACAGTCCTCCACAAGACCATGGTACTTTAGCCCTTCCTACATATACAGATAAAACTCCATGAACCAGAGAGATATCGAAAAACCATTATCAGCTCAATATTTCTAACTAAAATGTCGGGAGAAAAACCAGATTTCTACCCACAACCAAATAAAGAGAGAATAAAATCACAAAACCCTAAAAATCAGACCTAACACTTCAATACCACCTCGTCCACTCAGGAAATGGCAATAACAGTAACAAATTAACTATAATCGCGTAATGAGCCTAAACTTATTATATTCAGTGTGCAAAATATTTATCAAAAAACACAAAAATTAAAAAAAAAAAGCAGTGAACCTGAGAACAGTAACAGCTCTTGATTCGATGAATGAAAGAGGTGACCGGAGAATTTCTTGGGACAAACGCGACGGAGATCAGAAGAACGACGGCGGCGCCGAAGTAAAACCAACTCCGTCGATGACTTCGCCTTTTCGTTTCGATCTCGGAATCCGCCATTTCGCGGCGATGAAATCTACAAACTCTCAACGAATTATGATATGTTCTGATTGGATTTTTTTTTTTTCTTCCAATTTTTACGAATTGAATGCGCTGTGCGTATATAACTATATAAGCCGAGACCCAACTGTACGAATTGGTGGGAATCGGAGAAAAAATGAAAAGGGAGAAAGAAGCAAGTTGGAAGGAAGGGAAAATTGCGGGCGGTTTGCCGCTGGTATTTTGATTTTTAGGTGTGAATTTGGAAAAACGATGAAAGTTTGGAAATTATTACATGCTGGTTTATCATTTAATTTTGTTAAATAATTTTATTATATTGGGACTTAAATTATCAACTCCTAAATAACTATTGAGTTATCAGCTACTTTCTTAGCTAAATTTACCAAATATGACTAAAAAGTGCTCAAGATAAATTTGTTTCTACAATTTATACCGTGAATTTCATCATATCATGTTTAACATAAGTAGGATTATAAAGGAGTCAATTCTTAATACTTGATACTCGAGCTTGCTCGACAAGGTCAACGAGTTAGAAGTAAGGCAATGTAATAGGTATTAGTATATTCAAGTTTCAACTCGATTAAAGATTCGACGGCCAGGTGCCGACCAAAGAAGAAAATGAGGAGGAGTTAGAACTCTCATCTATGTTTTTTTTCCTTTCGCCAGAGAGAGAGAAAGAAGTGAACATATTGTCTTGGGCCTATTATCTCGACGAGCCAACATCGGGATCCTTCCCAGAGGCTAGTCGAGATTGGCGTCCCTGTGATGTGGCTCTTTGACTGTCCGTCGATGTCTTTGAGAGTCTGATCTGAGATATTTTTGTAAATTTGTCTAACTATTCGAGTGAATTTAGAGTTTTCAAGTTTGTTGTGTTCACATCGGATGCTCTTTTATCATCTGGGTCTGGTTGACCTCGTTGTATATTGGTGGTTGCTTTGAGTTACTGATGGTAGCCTTTTGGAGGGTAACTGCTAGCGACTTAGGGCATGGTCTTAGTGGTGGATCGGTTTAGCCAGAGGAGGAGAGGTTGTTATTATCCAATGTTGGAGTTTATAGTCTCCACTTGTGAGAATATTTTAGTATTTCTAAAATTTGTGTTTGTGTTGTCGGCTTTCTAAGCTACCTTATGGTATACCTCCTTCTAGATTCAGTTTAGTAGCTAATAGATTCGATTGTTTCTGGTTGGTATAGTCTATAAATATTTGTGTTATTAGTAAAAAGTCTATCATTTCGAGAAAAAATAAAAATTCAACTCAAACTCGTTTAATAGAAATAAAAAAAAAAAGAAAAAGAAAAAGAAAAAAAAATCGCTGAAAGCTTAAACTCTAAAGTTGAGGTGAAAATTTTTATTTGTCTAAGGCTGTCTCCATAGAGTGAATTGTGGGAATTTATGTTCAATAAGGTTGTTTAAAGTTTGTGCAGTTTCGGTAGCGGTTCTTATGCTCGAGGCTTTCTTTGTATCGGTCGTTCACCACTGGTTGAGCTTAGTTCAGATCGCTGAGGAAGGGCTATGTTTTAGTTTATTGTTGTTTATGTTATTGTTTTTCGTTGTTTTGTGATCGTTGTGTTTGTGTTGGTGTGGTTTATGTGTTTTGGTTTGGGACGTTAGCCCCAGTTTGGCCGAGTGTAGCCTTTATTCTCCTGTTGAGAGTTTACACTCGGCTACTACCCTGTTGGGGATTTTTTATTTCTGTATTTTTTCGTTGTGGTTTTAGTTTGGTGTTGGTGTTGTAGTGTGCTGGTCGTTCTAGCTTTGCTAGTTGGTATTCTATTTAGGTTACATTAGTGGCATGTGTAACCTCTCATTCCTTGGCTTCGGACTCGCCTGCTGTACATTGTCTTTTTAACTTTTTTATGAGTATGTTTAAAAAAAAAAAAAAATACTATACATCATGCGTGACCTCTTTTTTCATCATAGGGGCAACAAAATGGAACATGAAATTATCAAATTAACATGCGACTATGGTTAAGGGACGTCAAATTTGACAAGTCCCAAAAAGGGGTTACAAATACAATGCATTACGGTTTATTATGCATGGAACCAAATTTCAAAGTAATCAACTAATTTTCAAGTAAGTTTTAACAACAAAATCTCCAAATGCATGAAAAGAAATTAAAATATCCTAGATGCTTCTCTCAAGCGTGAAAATGAAATCAATGAAAGTAGGTCAAAAACCGTGTCCTATCAGAGCATCTCCAATGTGAGATGTTGACTTAATAAAATGTTAGTCACATCATAAAGTTATAAAGTGATTACAAAAATTACTCTCCAATCCATAATGTTATGGACTCTTTTATGCTAACATGGAGAAAATAAATATCCAAAGTGTAAAGCTCACTTTCTAGTTTTCCAAAGTGTGTTTGAAAGTCAACTCATAAAAAATCTAACTTATTTTAAGCTTTTGAAATGGATGCATGAGAGATGTGCATTCCAAATTAAAGTCTTCTCTTTTGACATTCATATTACATGGATTTACATTCCATTCATCATTTGACATGTGTTTAAATTTAATTAATGTTGAAAGTGGAACATTGGAGATGTTATTTACATTCCATTCATCATTTGAGAGGTATTTAAATTTAATTAATGTTGAAAGTAGAACATTGGAGATGCTCTCAGCACTTAGTCAAAACATCGAGTGAAAAAAGATACTTTAATTAGGATATGCTTTTGTTTTGTGCACTCGATTGTTTGAGGCTTTTCTATAGTTGAAACTTAAAAGTAAAACAGATCAAATTTTATGTTCTAAAATGATGATAGTTTTTTACTCTATATATACGGTAAAATATAGCTAAAAGTCGTATTTTTTGAAATCGGACCAAGCCAATGGATCAAATTCGAGAGTCAATTAGAATTAGTTGCCACTAAATCAGTCGAGAAAATAGTCAAACCTGCATAAACAACTCAACAATGATCTCACACAAAATGAAAACCATATTAATTATTGCCTCAGCCTCAAGAAATTTCCTCATATAATAAGTAGTTTTAGTTATTATGTACTTACAAAGAATTGAATGTAAAATTCTTTTAAAGGAAACATATAAAAATTCATAGTAAAGTAAGTAAAATAAAATACCAATCATTAGGCGGCAGCCTAACAGAAAACAGAAAACCTACCATTAGATTGTTAAAATTAACGAAAAAAAAAAAAAACGTAAAATATGAAGTTTGCATTTGACAATTGGTTGGAGATGCTCTAAAATTGGTGATAGAATCTCATATAGTTATTGCATAAAGACACAAATTAAAAGCATGTCCAAGGAAAGTATACACAATACATTACAGTTGTGCATAAACATCACAACCAAAATAAATAACAGCTATTGATTGAGTTCTGTCTCCTGTACACAATTGGTCATGGGATTTTATCAACTTCTGGTAGAGATCAGGTGGCATTATTCCCATTTTTCACCTTAGTTGGAGGGGAAAAAGGACGTTAATAGTATAATTTGCAGTACCATTTGTAGTCTGCAAATCAAGCTAGGTAGTTGTATACTTGCGGGTTGTTCTTGTCGCGCTCGAGATATTCCCGGTCAATGAGACTCTCGATCCTTTTCTTCAAATCAGCTGGTTTTATCGGAAACTTGAGCTGTATCCATCAACACGACAGCCCATCATTTATTGAATATTTCAGAACAACCCTTTTTCGGGTTTTAGTTTCAAAAGAAAAGCCCAATAGATATTCCAAGAGTAAATGCAAATGCCCCACTTATATAGTTATACTACAAAAGTACAAATTGCACCATTTACATTAAGCTTTTGATAACTCGAGGGCCTATTCGTAATTTTATGGATTGAGTCAAATCTCTCAATGGTGGTTTTCAACTTTTCATAATAATTATACCAGCAATTAAAGCAGAAACGTCAATAACAGGGTCTCGTTCATTACCTGCTGAAAGAGTTCGGTTATCAACAGGGTGTGACTCAGCACTTTTCTCGTCTTCATTATACGAACAATAGCAGCATCAACCTGTGATGGAAAGAAGGCACAGTTTGGAGGGAAAGAAAAAAGAAGATAAAATCGAACGATTTTTGTTTATATATTACAACTTGTTGGGGATGCTAAAGCAGACCTGATATTGACGGTCTTGAAATACTCTTTCCGTAGTGCTGGCATTCTCTTCGGCTGTCTCCTTCATCTGAATAGCATTTACCTGCTCACGAAATGGGTTGAGTAAGTCAGTAAAACTGAGAATTTTGAGGAGAAAAAACACCCTTAGTAACTTTTGAAACTAAATTTGATCCCATAAAGGGTTACGAACACCCTTTTCAGATTAGCAAAATTTGAGGAGGAGAAACAACCGTCAATGGGGTCATTTGATAATATGTTAAAACCTCACGGATAGTTTTCGTAATAAAGCCAAAAAAGTTCATAACTTGTCGATAAGAAAAAAAACCCAAGAAAATGAAGGAATAATTAGAAAAAAGGATCTCGTCCTACCTTTATACGGTATAAAGGAGCAGTAAATTGGTTGTTGAACATAAAAGAGTCATCATCTTCGACATCTCTGCCCTTAGGAATCTGCATGGACAGTTTTTGTAAATAAATCAGGTTTCGTGTATAACTTTTTTTCACCATGGAAATTGAAGACTTCTTCTCTACATCAATAGAAAACACCCACTTTCTGAAGAACACGGACTTTCCCACATGCAAGGGACTGCAAAGTCCTCCTCAGCTCTTTGTCCTCGATACCAGTTGACTCCTTTATATCTTGAAAGTTAAGCTTCTCAGCATCATTAAATAGCATCAAGACAACGGTCTGAGCCACATAACAGTACGTGCATTAGATCATTTTTTTTTTAAGTCACCAACATAATCAAAACAATATTAAAAATACGGAGGAAAAAAAAAATCTACCTGAAATAGAGAAACAGCCAGCTCCTTTTTACCTTTAGAAAATTCAGCTTTCAAAACACAATGACCCAGTGAATTTTGCCACATCAATCGTCGACCACTGTATTTGCTCAAGTAAAACTCCTTAAAAATATCCTGGTAGGAAATTTTTAATTTTTAATGAAAAAAAATGAGGTTATTTGTTATCCAATGGTTACTCTTGCATCAAAACTAACTCCAAATCTTATCAGCACAACCAAACCTGGTACACATTGAGTTCATGAGGCAGCCTAACATCCATTGGGGGATATGTTGGCCAATACCTACAACAAATCAACCATACATTTAAGTCATTACCGATAGACTCACACTAAGTTGGAAAGTGGTGAAGATGAGAGTTACATAAAAAGCAACGAATTACAGCAACATACCCAGTTGTTAAGACGTGGACACTCATCTCGATTCCAGATGGTAGTTTTGTCCGAGCTTGGGATGATTGCTTGAATGATTCATTTATCTCTTTTGACAGCTCAATGTCCTGGATTAAGAGTACCGCACATCATAGTACCCCACATAACAAAAAGAACTGTGAACGAATCTTTCTTTTTATTTTCATCTGTTTTTAACTTATTAACTTGCCCATCTACACTACTGACAGACCATCATTGATATTGGGTATGAGATTGAAAGTAAAATAATAAGGAATAGTAAATATATTCATTTTACTTGTGGTGGTTGGTATGTAAAGGATTACTATTACAATTGATGGAGATAGGTTTATGAAATATAAAGGTATAATAATTACAGTCACTCCAAACCCCCAAAAATGAAGTATATGGCTCCTTCCCATCATTTGGTATGTCAAATTGGAAACTGCGCATGGATTCCCAAATAATAAAAGACTTTTTTTTTTTTTTNCCCTTCCCAAAACTATCCTACCAAGTAGGACTCCAATCTGATTTAGAAAACAAGCAAATTTTTACAGTAAATGCAAAAATCTACAAATTATAAAGAGCAAAACCAAAGAGAAAATCTTCCATGTGGGTTGTGGGATAAATACAATCATGTCAAGGAACAACGTGCTCCAACTTAGTTTTTTGGATTCATATCCCACATCTGAAAAAGAGTCCTCCACTCCTTAAATTGACTATACAAGGCTACTTTTAAGAGTTGTAATCAACAAAATATTAATAAATAAAAAAAACTCCACACATTTCATAAAAAAGAAATCTGTTAATTGGTGGGTAAAAATACCTCAATATCTCAGATAGATATTGTAGAGACCAACTTTTCTCTATAAGAAGCATCAACATATAGAATTAGAAATACGAAGTACATCAGGCTTTGAACCATAAAAGTCAATACACACCTTGAACATTCCTTCAAGTTTGTTGGTGAATTGACTGCCACACTCAGTTTTTAACTACAATAATAGAAACAATTTTCTTTTCACTAGCGTATAATACAATATTGGAGGGATTTGGATAACTACCAAAAATAATTAAGAGATGAATGAGAAAAACAGAGAAAAGTGAAAGGAAGGAAGGAATGAGATATAATAAACAACAACCAGATCTTTACCTTAGTAATCATTGACTTCTCCGCATCAATAGATGCACTTTTGCCCAGCAAAAGCCTCTTAGCAAGATCTTTCTTATAGAATGCTTCAAATACATCCTTACCCTACATCAGAACATTATATCAAAGTATCTATTGGAAAATTTGGATGGCAAAGTATAAGCATAATCAACATTTTCCATTATGAAAGCTCTAAGAGGATGATTACCTGTATAAATCTGAACAAGACCAAAACTTTTTCAAGTGTACCCTCTAATTCCTCTTCTGATGTACCCTTATTTCCAGCACGAAGCTTCTCATCGACAAACTTCGCAATTAGCTCAGCAGGTCGATTCTGTAAAAGAGCACGATAACACATAATTATTTATCAATTTATCACAGAACATCACTTGAATATAGTCAAATTGGAGATGCCTATTTTATAGGCATGAGAAGTCACGCCTCACTGTAAAGCAGAATCCTACTAAAATGTTATAACTATAATACCTGGCGGATATTAATGAGATGCTCAAATGCATCCTTGATATTATTGCTAAACATTTCATTTTTATCAAAGCTCTCTTCCCATATCCTATCAAGATTAGCCTTAAATTCCAATAAGCTGGATACCATCTCCTTGTCCTTTTCTTCATCCATGACTATATTCTGGCCTGTTCTTCTTATATACTGATTAAGGGCTTGCCTTAATGACTCTAGGGCATTGATCCTAGATAAAAGCATATACATTCTCTGAAGGTCATCTATACGTTTCCCATCCATCAGCATCATGAAACCCTGGAAAAGTAGAAAAACGTATCAGAACATGCATATATGCAAGCACGAGGTAAGAAAGTGATAACGAAAATTGACGGATAAGTTAACCTTATCCAGAATTGCAGATGTATGACGCTCAAGAAGTTGCTTTTCTGCAGTGGCTACTAATGGTTTTCTGGTACTAGCATCCAGGTAGGTTAAGCATCTTTCTTGTTCTTCTTGCAACCTTATCTGAAGAAACATCAATAGCAACATCAATAATGGCAAAGGGTTTAACAGCACAATGCATAGGTGGATAACAGAAGATAAAGTATATTCACACCTCCACATGCTTTAGATAATCTGGAATATCAGCCTGTTGCATATATTTTGCACCTTCAGCTGCATAAAATTCTGATGTGCCTTCAAGGAATGGCTTCTCAAAACTTTCTGGGTAGATTCCCAGTGCAGTGAACATCTTCAAAAGATGGTTAAGGAGAGTCCTATCAACTGCTTCGCCAAGCCTACAAGAACAAACAAAATTCTAAAATTTGAGTATGAGAAGTCCCATATACCATAATAATCTAAGTTCGAGTCAACCTATGTCCGACTTGTCGAACGCATAGACTGATAACAAAAGGCACCAACAAGCAACCACGAAGATTCTCTATGTTTAGTTACAATACTCTGACTGCCATATGATGTATATAACTGCTTAAGTTTACTTAAGAGATACAGAATTAACAATAAAGTTTGGGGTATTTACGGAAAAAGCCAACATAACTTAAGGAATTTCGAACCATCCTTCAGGTTTGATTCCATTTAACACTTTGCCTCAATGATTAGTTGACCTGACAGAATTTGCCGATATCATCAGATATTTTGTAATGACATCCATCAATTTTTCATAATATTACCAGCTAACCCCAATTTTNAATGCAAACAAAAAAAAAAGATGAGGTTATTTGTAATATTTAAAACTTCAGGGAAGTAATTGTAAAAGTTATTTAATTATCAGTTATAATCATCTGCTACCTCCATCAAAAGCAAGTGCAAAATGTAAAATGAATATACGGATAACCACAAGGGTAGTTATGATTGTGATTACAAAATCAGCTGCCTTTTTTCTTATAGTTTAGCCATGTGTCAGGACTAGTTTTGCAATTATCCATGTTGTATTTCACAGAAAAACAGCTCAATGCTTGAAGGTCACCTCTCACTCTCAATCATTTTCAGAAGACCGAACACAGTTTTGTGCTCCACTTCAGAAGCTATAGAGAGATGTTTGAGGAAAAGTTGCAAACCCATGTCCCATAACGAGCGTACATTTGGCGTTTGCTTCACGTAAGTTCTATCGAGGTACAAAGCTATACCACGGATCATCAACATCTGGTCACAAAAGTCCTGCCAGCATTTCTGAACGAGCGATAAGAAAACCATAAGATCCTCACTTTGGCCGACCAAAGACTGCAAAGCAGCGGCTATGTAAGATTCACATTCCTTCTCGATTCTTTGGTACAGACTTCCACCCATTTTGTGCAGGCAAAGGTCATTGACAGCCTTAAGATCATACGCCGGTTATCAGCAGTTCGCAATACAATAACATAATGAGAGAGAAAATGCATGGCAGGAATTATTCACCTGATAGAGTATTTCCAAGTCACATGGATTAGGTTGCTTCAAAAATATGGCACCTACAGCAGACTTCAGAGTTGACCATGTATTTTCCTCAAAATTTCTTGGCAGTGTTGGTTTGGCTTCAAGCATGAGAAATTAGTCATTTAAACAAATGTTAATCTATACTTTCCCAAGGAAAACCAATGTCAGCTTAAACCACAACCTATTCAACTAATAACTAATAATCTTGCATGCAATTTTCATACTCTTCAAACAAAACTTCATACTTCACAAAACAACTATATACACTGTGTTGATCATCTTAACAAAATGATTTTTGCTAGACAAGCATGAGGGTCGAATGTAAGGGTTGCCTCAGACAGCCCCATAATATTTTTTGCTCCAATTCATGCATATGGAAATATAACACCATGGTTCTCAAAAATTGAGAAAATATCAGATCTCTACAACTTTACAGGCCTGAGTTGAAGTACACACAATGAACTTGAAATAACTTACTCACACTGGTAAAAATTCAATATCTAGCCAATCAGTTAAACACACACACACACACCCCACAAGCTCTTGGTTCCACCTTTCAAACGCTGGGAAATGAATAATAATTTCCCAAAATTCCACCACACTTGAACGACACATTAACTCAGCATAATTAGAAACTACGATCTTAAACCAAATTACAAAAAACGAAAGTAAAAAATCGGACCTTTAACGAGCTTAATTACGAGCTTCTTCGCAGGCTGCGGAGGCGTGGCCTTCTTCCTAGACAAATTGGCCGTCACTCCTCCACCGGACGCAGCGGCGCCGCGGATGAAAGCACGGGACGGTGAGGACGCCTCAATCACGGCGTCGTTGGGACCGTCTTCGGTAATAGGGGACAGAGCCGGCGGGTCGGCGAAGTGCACGTGCGGAGCGACCTGCTGCTGGCCGTTCCTGTTGCCGTCGAGCGAGCACCCGCCCGCCTGGGGCTTTGCCTTCTTCATCGCCGGGAAAATTGGGGCTGCGGCGGCGCCGGCGGCGGACGAGGCGGAGGAATAAGGGGATAATGAGCGCTTGCTGATGTTGGTGGAGGTGGTGCTGGGCTGAGACATAGAAGAGTGATGAAATCTCACCAGAAGCTCCTCATTTAGGAGACAAGATTGAAAATTCGTCAATTTGAGGAGAAAAAGAAAATAAAATTTAAAAATGAAATTCTTTTGGCAAATTGCAAATTTGCAATAATAAGGGTTGATTGTTTATGGATTCAACTAATTTTTTATTTAGTTCGTTTTAATTATAGTTAATTTAAAAAAAATGATATGATTAATTGTTAGTAGATATATTAAAATAATATTTAAATAAAATAATTAAAGTTGATTTTATGTAAAGTAGGAAAAAAATAATTAGAAGAGATAATTAGTTAAAGTTATGTGAGTGAATGAATAGTGAATTAAAGTAGGTGTAATGTGTAAGAATGATTAATTGATATTATTTAATTATATTGATAATATAAAAAATAGTGGAGTTGAGTTAAAATTTAGTTAAATTTAAATTTTGATTAGTTTTTTTTACTGTAGAACCCATAAACAATAGCCCTTAAATTGTTCTAGAAATTTGATTNAATTGGACTGTTTTATTTGTTCACTAGGGTTAAAGGATATGGGCTCAGGTTTGTATGAAATAATCTGAAATGGGCCTTGTTGAAGAGTACAGGTATTGATCCATGAGAAACAACAAAATAGACATTAAATATCCAACTATCGAGAGCGAGGTCTGATAGGCCCATTCTATCAATCGCAGCGATTCCTAATTCAATAGCATAATAATATTGAGGTCCATTAATCCCAGAAAGCCAGTTACCCGCGGCCCAGATATAGAATCAGCCCAAACTTCCAAACTAGCCCAGGAAAGTTCATAGTCTAGGGCTTTATTACATGGCTTCCCAAATCACAAAACCCTAGAAACGCCTCAACAACGGAGAGGAAGCTCAACAGCAGCTGAAGAACTGTCGAAAATGGTGACTTACAAGGTAAACAATCCCATCCCTCGTTGCAATTTCACGACTTTCATTTATGTATATGCATTGTGTTCGTAGAGTTGATGATTGATCTTATGTCTTTCTCGACGGTGTCGTTTTCAGTTTCACCAGTACCAGGTGGTCGGAAGAGCTTTGCCGACGGAGGCCGACGAGCACCCGAAGATCTATCGCATGAAGCTATGGGCGACCAATGAGGTCCGAGCCAAGTCGAAATTCTGGTAATTATTTGCGCCTCTCTATGTTTTTGAATGTACAAATGAATTTTTTCTGTGTATTTCGTTTTGTGGTGGTAGATTTGTAGCTCGAAGTTATGTTGATGTGGTGACTTTGGGCATTCTTTTTCCTCGTTTTTAAGCAAATTAATGATCTGTTAATTGTTTTTATGATGTATAGCTTAATGGTTGTGTTGTTAGAAATCTTAGTTTAAGTTTAGTTAGATAGTCTAATGGAGTTTTTAGACTTAATGGATCCCTAAAATTGATTTCTTTATGCAAAGGTATTTTCTGAGGAAGCTTAAGAAGGTGAAGAAGAGCAATGGTCAGGTTCTTGCTATCAATGAGGTATATGCTTGTATTGATTTCACGGAATTTATTAAATCCTTCTTGTTATGCTTACAGTCTGTGCCCTCCAATTTTTGTTCTGTTTTAAATTCTTGTGTTGTGCTGGATGAAGCACCTGTTTTGCTGTGTATGTGCTTTTCAGTCTCACACGATTCTTCAAATTTCTATAGGTTACGCTTTGTATGTGTAGCTGTTCTGACGTGCCTATACTTTTCGAGATCAATGCCTTGTCATGGATTTTAGATGAGCTAATAATGTTGTGTGATTGACTTCTGATTTCTCGCTTTGGACTCTAGAGCACTAGCATTTTGAATCTTTTATTGCAACACTTAATGTTCCATTCTCTGCTATTACCTTTTTTTTTTATTAATTTTTGTGTTTTGTCAAAGACATTCTTGTTATTAAATCATTCCCCTGATGTTTCTGCACTGCCGAACAATGTGCTTAGAATTTTTCTGTTGCATAAACTCCAGATCCTGTAACATCACGTGAACTGACGTGATAAACTCCAGATCTTGTAACATTCTTGTTACCTTTTATTAAATAATCTTATAAATTATAATTCAAGCCTTTCTTTTTTGTCCTCTTTCCATTCTCTGCCGGTTAATCTTTCCTTCTCTGTTCTTTTTCCTCCGCACTCATCACGTGAAAATGATTAAAAGCTGGAAAGAAGACATACTCTTCTCTTCTGTTTCCCTCTATTATCATTTTCCTTCTTTCTTTCTTTCTATCTACTTTTTCTGTGTACTCGGTAATCTTGCACTGAGGTTTAGAATATGAACCTTTCTATTTATTTACATATTTATTTATTTTGTAACAGATATTCGAGAAGAACCCGACCACAATCAAGAACTACGGCATCTGGTTAAGATACCAGAGTAGGACCGGCTATCACAACATGTACAAGGAGTACCGTGACACAACTCTCAATGGTGCAGTCGAGCAAATGTACACTGAGATGGCATCTCGTCACAGGGTTCGTCACCACTGCATACAGATAATCAAAACGGCCACTATTCCTGCAAAGCTCTGCAAAAGAGAAAGCACCAAACAGTTTCATGACTCGAAAATCAAGTTTCCTTTGGTTTTCAGAAAGGTGAGGCCCCCGACCAGAAAGCTGAAGACCACTTACAAGGCGTCCAGGCCTAACCTGTTTATGTGATACCTCTGGTATTTTTCGGTTCATTTTTCTGATTAATATGTTTCTTCCTGAGTATGATGTGAGGAAAAATCTATTTGCTTTCTGGATGAGAATTTTCACAATCTTTGGGCCCTTGTTAGACTTTTTTCATCTGCAGGATTATGAGTTTTTGAACTTTGGAGTTTGATCCGTTTGTTTCTTACATCTTATGTTGAGGATTTTATGCTCTCGTGTTAAATTTTTGTTTGGTCTTATATTATGTTATTTGCTTACTGCCGTTGATCTCCTTTTTTCTGTGTGCCTCTGTTGGATCTACCTAATTGAATTGAGAACCTCTGAGTTTGCAGAGGAGAAATTAATTTGGTTTAATTTCCCAAGTCATTTCCAGTGAATGGTTTTAAATATTTACTGAGCACTTCAATATATAATTAAGTAGCAAAGTACATTTAAATAACATCATGACCTTGAAGTTGAAACATCAATATTCATGCATGAGTAATATATTTTAGGTAAGGCAAGCAAGTGTTGCCTTTAAGTATTTCGTCATGAAATAATTAGAGAAAGTTGGATCGAAAATTCATGAGTGTGGATATTAGGATGTGATTGGATATGAATTTGATTTGGTTGTTTTTTTGTTAATCATAGTTAATTTTGAAAAAGATGTTATGTTTACTTGTTGGTGAAATTGTTAGTGAAATTTTGAATTTGTATTAAAAAAAATTAAAATAAAATAATTACAGTTTATTGATGTAAAAATATGAAAAAGATTATGTGAAATATTTATTGACTAAAATTATATGAGTAAATGAATATGGGTTTAGAGAGATCCACCAAAATTGGATTAGTTGCTCGGTGACGCAACTTTTTACCTTCAATTCATATTGAAAAATATAAAAATCACTTTCCAAAAACTTTTTACCTTCAATTCATATTGAAAAATATAAAAATCACTTTCCAAAAATTGCCGTATATTCAAAATTTTCAAAATGATACAAAGCTCCATAAAGTAGTCTTGAATACAAGTCTGATAATCGAAGTTCAACTTAAACACAGGGAATTCTATTACAACTCAAATTAAAAAAATCTAGGCACATTCTACAAGTACAGTAATTAGTCACTGATCAGGCAATATCTCACTCAAACAAAGCTATCAGCAGAATAAAAACCATTTTAGAGAAAGAGTTAGAGAGAATTAAGATTACATTCCGGCACCAAACTTGCCACGTTCGTTTGCTATAAACCGAAATAATTCAACATCCCAACTAGCTTATAAAGTTCTTGTCACATGAAGTAAACCACATTGGTGTCCCTAAATATCATCAGGCTTCCTTTCTCATGCATTTTCTGCATATAATTTGCAAAAAGATGATTTGCAATTAGCCTTTCTCTAGAAAAATCTAAGATTCATTGAATAAGACAGCAAATATAAGGGATTAACCAAGTGTGTGTGTGTGTGTGTGTGTGTGTGTGTATATATATATATGCAGTTGAACTAAATGTATAGATTACCTCCAAGAGAGACATAATCTCGGCACCCGAGTAAGGGACGGGAGCTCCACTGTTAACCACACTCTCTATATCAGCTATCGGCATTTGGTCCAAATGTTGTGCATGTCTATACTTCCCCAATGCTGTACTGAACGAGTCCAATCTACATGCCATATAAAAAGAAAGAAAATGGAAGGAGTGTTAGAAATTATTCCCATTCGGTGATACTGAATACAAAGTTGCTTTAGATGCTTCTCGTTTAAACACACATACCTTTCTTGTGATATGTTGACCTCACTTGATGGTGGTGCATCTACATCCATAGGTTCAGTTTCACTTTGCATGAAAAAAAAAAATGGAAGAAGTATCAGAAAATGAAAAATATCAATCTAACATTAGTTACAAAAGTAATCGAGCAAGAGGATAACATGAAATTGCATGATAACAATGCTACAGAATTTTTTTTATTGTTAAGAAACTAGCCAAAAGTGCCACAAAAAACACAGATATGCAAATCTTTCGATTTTTAATACTTACCCAGTTTGAGCAGTACGAGCTCCACCGTTATTACCACCAGCTTCGGAATCTGCCCTACGCTCTTCATCCATTTCTCTCCGCCATTCTTCCTCCCTCTCCTCCATTTCATTCAGCTCTTGATGATATATGGCAAAGTTTAGAACTTGAAGAGCAGCTTTAACATCAGGCTTCAGTACCTGATCAAGAACGTTTCATTCGTGTGAAATTACAATGCATAATTAGTAAATGTTAACCTAATTATCAATTAACTTAGCAATATCGATATTCCTTCTGTCTTTTGTTAACCTAATTGATCCTATTAAATCTCACAATCAAATCAATAGAGAAATTTTGTCGGACTTTGCAAGTGATGAAAATGATACCTGTCTTCGTAGCTTCAGTTTGGCATGGGCAGTCGACAGACGAATTATGGTCTCTAAGGTTCTTGCGGTGATCGGAAGTGTCCCTCCCGTCTGAAATATATCACGTAAGTTCAGTTTAGATTATTACAGACAAAAACTTCGAATGTTCAGCGAAACTTGGGGGAATAAATTACTGACCTTTACATTTGAACCCGCATTCCTAAGCTCCGCATATGCAGTTGCTATGTGTTCAGATGCCTGGAATATTATTTATGAAAAACAAAGTAAAAATGTGAAAGAGTTACAGTATTGAGATGTGGGAACCTAAAATATGATTAACACAATGAAAAAACTTTTAATAATAGAGAAGTATTAGCGAGTGCTATAATGATTTACTTTTCAAGGAGACATCACCTCATCTGTGAGCTCGGGCTGAATCCTGTTCTTCGCATAATGAATGTACTTCTTAAGAAAATTGATTGTGAGAGTATCGCGTTTACGACCCTTATCAGATCTTCTACCGTGCAACATTCGGTTGTACTTGACGAAAACCAAAGAACCTGCCTCTGGATCCTCCTCGCCATCGTGCCTTGAACTCTCATCTAATCTCATACCTGGCAAAAAAATATTGTGTTTTGTAAACTTGTTCCAGCCTCCACATAGGTATCTATACTTCAATCCTAAACCATCCATTCAAGTTATTAGATAAATATTTATTCATATATACCTCCATCAACCACCGAACGATATCGATGCATACGTAGCACATGCTCTGAGATCTGACGATCAATCCCAGGATCCATTTGATCCAAGACAATGAACAGAAGATCAAAACGAGAAAGAAGAGAATCCGGAAGCCCAATATTCTTTGTTGGAGTTAACGAACGGTCATACTGTAGAGTCAATGTGTGGAATTAAGGTTACATAAAAATGACAGTCTTATGTTGCTTAAATTTTTAAATAAGCTTTGGGTAGAAACTTACGGTTCCATATATTGGATTGGCTGCTGCCACCACACTGCACCGAGCGTTCAAGGATGCATGTATACCGGCTTTGGCAATGGTCACAGTTTGTTGCTCCATCACCTCATGGATGGCAACACGATCTTGATCGTTCATTTTGTCAAACTCATCAATACAAACAACCCCTCTATCAGCAAGAACCATGGCGCCAGCTTCTAGTCTTCTCTCGCCTAGGTTTAAGGATATCAACACTCAGTCAGTCATCGTTTGGAGCTTCTCCAACCCTGCGCCACAATGTTACTCTACTCCAGAGTAGTGCGAAAAAATTGCTCCAATGTTGCGCTACAATTTTTTTCTTCAAAATTTAGTTTTTTAATTGATTTTTATTTCTAAATATTATTTTGATATAATATACATCAATAAAATTTATTTATTTTGTTAAATAATTTTAAATTTTGATTTTATAGTTGTATTTAAATCTTATTTTGTACAAGTATATTTCATGTAGAGTAAAATGTAGCGCGAACGACTAGAGACGAAAGTTAATTTTGGCATTCTCAATTCTAGAGTATAGGATTGGAGATGGTCTTACACCATATCCAAGACCAAAGACGAAGAACACTATATATTACCTGTTTCTTGGTCAGAAGTAACTGCAGCAGTCAATCCAACACCAGATGAACCACGACCGGTGGTTGATATGGCCAGAGGAGCAATGTTCATGATGGCTCTCAACAGCTGGGACTTGGCAACAGAGGGGTCACCAACCATCATCATGTTTATATCACTACAAATTAGAGAATAGTAAATAAGTTTGGACAAAAACTAGAATAGGTGACCAAATCAAGAGAACCATGCTTATAAAAATAAAAGTAGCAAGAGATAAGCAAATACTTACCCCCTCAAGTGAGTCCCATTCTTCAAGTTCTTCTCATTTCCCCCAAGCATCAGTAGAATGACTGCTTTCTTTATCCACAGATGCCCATATATAGATGGAGCAAGAGAGTTAGCAAGAAGGTTAAACGCATCATCTCTTTCGGATACCTTCCTGATATTTTTCATATCGTCACTCGAATACTGTAAGTTGTGTGACATTTTGTTGAGAAGAGAGACATTGTTGGCTATGAGGACCGTCCTACATTAGCAACAGGGGATGATTCAACAACTAAAGCAATTACATAAGTAGTTAGTGACTATTTGGCTGTTAACATACTGACCTGAATACTCCATTCACACTGCCTTTGCTCTTTCCTGGAAGGGCTTTATATATCCCAACTATCGCCACACGGTCTCCAGGCTTGCATGAATCCACTAAATCATCTTCGACTATAACATCCACTGTCCTCGGAAGCTGGCCGGGTGCTGAGTTCTCTGGAACCTCTTGCATTGATAGAGTTTGGTGGTCTTTATAAGTGCAGAGACCATACTCTGTTACTAACAAGTTACCATTGTCATCCTGAAAACAAGCTAATTGTTGTCAAATTACCTTATTGGTTGAATGATTACAAAATATGGAAAGGGTAAGGGACAAAAGTCGTACTCGTGTTGGGTACACTGAACCAGTCGGCAAGCCAATATTGGATGTAATATCTCTGTACTCACGCACTGTGAATTTCTCTGTAACTGGGCAGAAGTGGACACTCTTGACAACTTTGGGCCTAACAAGAGAACCTACATACAGAAAATGAACATATCTAGATGACATCATTAAGTTCTGATATAGCTATGAACTAATATTTAAAAATAATATAGATAACTCTGCTGCATAACTAAAAGAGAAAAAACAATAAACACAATATCTTTCTCATTTTGTGTTCAAGAGCTTACACTACTTCTGAAGATCAAGACTTTCCAAAGACCATCCAGTTTAAATTTAACAAGACAACATACTAGCAAAGAGAGAAAAATATCAAAAAACACAAGGTTTCAAAGGAAAATGTGAAGTACATTTGGTAATAATGCCCTCCACACAGACCATGGAGCCGATAAACCCAGATAAGAGCTCTCGTGGGGTCACTCTTCGGGAA